CCCAGACTGTGAACAGCAGCAGAATGGATTTTTTTTTTTTTAAGTCATGCCATACTTAATATGTAAGAATTCTGTGCTATCAAGGACAACTGCTTCACAATAAATGAAACCTTGTTAATCGCACAAAAGGATTGATCCCCGATGTTTCACAATATGACTATTTCAAGGCTTTGACTTGGTCCCTCCCTTCTCAGCTTGTCTTGCTTGCTGAAGCGGTACCTGGTTGCTAGGCAGCCCTGCTGACTTATTTGAGTGCTCAATCTGTGTCGCTAAGGATCTCTTCATGTGGAATTAATTGCTCAGTAAAGGTCAAAAAGAGATCCTTAAAATATCTAACATGTTTTCATTTTGACTGGCATCCAGTAATGTAGTTTATTTCATCACATGTTTGCATTTGTATCCCATACATGCATCCCATCATCTCACCTCCTGTCCTGAACATGTGTCAGAGAGAGTTATATAACCCTTTGCGCATCATTACAGACACGGTACGTCTGTAGGTTTGCACAGCATTAAACAAACTTCTATTGACTATAAAGTTCAAATGAGCCAACAAGAAGGTTCAACAGTAACAGCCAACAACATCAACATGTGTGTGTAGGTGATGGTCAGCTTTTCAGCATTAGGCCGGAAGCACACTAGACTAGACCAAAGACTTGAAGATTGGGCAAAAAAAGATTGAGCCCACTCACTACATGACACGTGACTGTGTATACATAACAAGGGATCAGAAGTAGTTTACATTCTAACATTATAGTGATGACATATACTGGTATACAAACACAGAAGGAGAGAGAGGGGGGGGGAGTTGTTTTCTTTGGGTCAAGGAAGATTAGTGTTACTGATCCATCAAACAGTTTTTTTTTTTACTTTTTACTTGCTGAACTTCAAGGATGTGTGTTTCAAGAGCAACTAGGATCAATGATGTTGACATTTCATTTGCGAATCACCTTGCCCAATAGCTAACACTACAAGAGCAAAGAAGAAAACATCAATACACATGGGACTGCAGTTATCATGGCTGTGCTGCCTCCCTTTACTTTACAAGCAGTTGGGTCAACTAAATTATCTGTGATATTAGAGAGTTTGTTTTTTAACTTTAATGGCTTTAGAGAGGGTCCAAAATACAGAGCAAGAACCCTGAAACTGAAAAGCTTTTTCATTTTAAATACCAAGTAATAAAGAAATGCCACACACGGCTCCCCTTCTGCTCCATGTCTATGTCACAGCTGCTGCAGCAGGTTTGTGTTCCTAATTTACGGCGACTGTCTGCTTTGCACATCACAGTAGTTTGCTCAATATCTAAAACCACCACTTCTATGTCAATGAGAGGACATTACTGCCTTTTTTCTAACCCCAACTGTGGTACTTTAACAGTAATGCTTGCTGCTATCTGTTATCAGAGCTGCAAAGAAACTAATCAATTAGTTGTCAACTAATAATTAATTGCCAACTATTTTGATAATCCATTAATCGAATTGAATCAAATTGAGTCATTTTTTTAAGGATAAATGTCCAAATTCTCTGATTTTATCTTCTCAGATCTTACTGTTTTTTTTAGTCCTCTCTGACAGTAAACTGGATATCTTTGAGTTGTGGACAAAACAAGACATTTGAGGACATCACATTGGGGTTTGGGAAAATATGTTTAACATTTTTCAACATTTGCTGACATTTTATGGCCTAAACACTCATCGATTAATCAAGAAAATGATCCATAGATAAATATATAGAAATATAGAAAATAATCATTAGTTGCAGCCCTAAGCTTCATATTATGTTTGACTTCCTCAGGACAGGCAGGCTCTGCAGATACTGAACCATGACCACTAGTGAATAATAGTGTCAGTGCCTATACAATACTGGAGTTTTGGTGCCAATATTGAACCCAAACCTTTTTCTATGCCTTAGTTTGGAAAATATAAACATGTTTAAATATTATTTGCTTTGTTTATCAAAATATGACAAACCGCTCATTGCACTTTTTATTAAGGTAAAACCTTCTCCTGAGACAACCCGGGTCTGAAAGCTTATAGCTACTATCAGTCTAAAACAAAGAACCTGATTTCATTTCATCAGACTGACATTGTTTCTGTGTTACTCGGCTCTGAAGCAATGACAAAAACAATTCCCCCATCAGTCAGCAGACAGCAAAAGGTGCAATGTACACAGCTGCATCCATACCAACACAGGCACATACCATTCTTGTTACTATTCAGACTCTGTGATTGCTTTGTCCATCATGGTCCCACACTGCAGACAGATTGCAAATAATAAAGGTTCTCTGTGACAGAAAATCAATACTTGGAACATGGCAGGTTACAACCTCCCAACCCTTCTCCTAACTGCAGAAAATACAAAGCAATCTTTAAAAATGCACATTACCGCTTAACAGCATGCCATTTACCATCAGCTTATTTAATTAATTACACAGGTAATGGAGTACTTATGTAGTCTTAGCTTGTTGAAAATTATTCGGTGACAGACAACAGTTTCAGTTATCTCCCTTTGGTAAGTCAATATCGTCTTGGAAATGTTGTTTCCTTGTTCAGGAAGTGGAACATGGCCTGCGGCTCACCAAGAGTAGTAGACAACACAGCCCACTTCACATGTAGGCAGGCAGATCTAAATAAAGTCTTTGTTATCAGTGGCTACTAGTTTCGTCTGGACCAAAGATTGCAGCACATTTTTTTGTCGAAACAGCTCGAACTCTTTAAAATGTCCCCAAACTCTGTCTGGGTGTCTGTGTCTGTGTGTGTGTG